CCTCAGGACAAAACCACCTCCAGAACCTCTCAGCAGGCTGGAATTCCCTGGCACGCTGGAATTAAAAGCCAAAATGCCTTTAAATCACCAAAATTTGCCACAGATCAGGCACTGACCACCTCAGATATTTAGGGATGCTGTGAATCAAAGGAATGGGATTAAGAGCCAGCAAAGCTTTGTTGGGAGAAAATATTCTTGCACAAAATTACCCCAGCCTTAGCTAGTCAAGAATGCCACTTTTTAAACTAAAGGATTTAGAGATTAGGAGAGGATTTGTCCCCATCTGTCACTTTTGGCCTCCTTTCATTTTTTAAAGATTCCTTACTCAAACCTCACAGAAAATCTTGCCAGCATTTGACTATTTCCAGACAAACTCATTTTATTTGTAGCTCCGATGGATTGATTTCCTAAAGGGCAAAAATCACAAAAAGAGGGAAAGATCCACACTGGGATGTGGAACTCCACCAAGGCTGCACTTTATTGACAGTGGATGTTGCCAGAAAGGCCAAATTAACACCCAAAATGGTGCCAAACCCAGAGCAGCTCAGCTTTCTCCTGGCAAATGGATGCAGCTGAACTCATCCCACTTTGGGAAACACCCCAGGGGTGAAAGGATTTACCTGGGGGTGCAAAAATGGGCTTTCCAAGAGGGATGGGAAAGGTTTCCTGGCTGGAAAAGCTGCTGGAAGTGTTTCCCTGCCCACCACACCCAAATCGGTGTCAGAGCCCTTGGAGCCCCTCAAGCCCCTCCTCGTTCCTGGCTGGCAGCTGCTGGAATTCCACCTGCTGGAATTCCACCTGCTGGAATTCCACCTGTGTGTGGGAATCCAGGGATTCCCTCCGGCTGCCCTGAAGGTCTGGGACCCTGGCAGGGGTCAGGAACCCATGGACAGAGATCACAGACCACATTTCACAGAAACAAAGACAAAAGCTCCACCCGCACCAGGGTATTTGGGGAAAATCAGTGATTTTTGGGGCAGGAACATGAGAATTCTGGGGAACCACTTGAAGAGGAACAAACATTTCACAAAAAAAAAAAGGACAAAAGCTCAACCTGCACAAGGTATTTGGGGAAATGAGGCATTTTTGGGGCCTGAAAATGAGAATTCTGAGGAACCACTCCAGGAGAACAAACATTTCAAAAAAATAAGGAAAAAGTTGAACCTGCACCAGTTGTTTGGGAAAAGGAGCCATTGTTGGGGCAGAAAAATGAGAAATCTGAGGAACCACTTGAGGAGGAACAAACATTTCACAGAAACAAAGACAAAAGCTCCACCTGCATCAGGGTTTTGGGGAAAATCAGCGATTTTTGGGGCAGTAAAATGAGAATTCTGAGGAACCACTTGAAGAGGAACAAACATTTCAAAGAAATAAGGACAAAAGCTCCACCCGCACCAGGGTTTTTGGGGGAAAATCAGTGATTTTTGGGGCAGGAACATGAGAATTCTGAGGAACCACTTGAAGAGGAACAAACATTTCACAGAAATAAGGACAAAAGCTCCACCCGCACCAGGGTTTTGGGGGAAAATCAGCGATTTTTGGGGCAGTAAAATGAGAATTCTGAGGAACCAATCCAGGAGAACAAACAGTTAAAAAAAAGAGAACAAAATCTCAACCTGCACAAAGTGTCTGGGGAAATGAGTGATTTTGGGGGCAGAAAAATGAGAATTATGAGGAATCACTTGAGAAAGATCAAACATTTGACAGAAACAAGGACAAAAGCTCCACCCGCACCAGGGTTTTTGGGGAAAATCAGCGATTTTTGGGGCAGGAACATGAGAACTCAGGCGTACCTGCCTCGTCGTAGGCCAGGGCGAGCTTCTCCAGCATCTCCCTGTCGATGGAGAGGATCTGCTGCTCCAGGATGCTGTGGTAGGACAGGACGCTGTTCTCCTTGTCCCGCTCGTAGTCCTGCAGGTGCTGCCTCAGCACCTCGGGCAGCCGCGCCTTCACGTACTCGGCCGCCGACTGCGGGCACAGACACCCAAGTCAGCGGCTGCCAGGCGGGTTTGTATTCGAAATTTTTATCCCAAATTTGAAAGCAAAAAGGGGCAGAGCGGAATCAAAATTAATGGCGTTATTTGAAATTATTATTTGAAATTTTTATCCCAAATTTGAAAGCAAAAAAGGGGCAGAGCGGAATCAAAATTAACGGCGTTATTTGAAATTTTTATTCGAAATTTTTATCCCAAATTTTAAGGCACAAAGTGGCAGAGTGAAACCAAATTCAAGTATTTATTCTAAATTTTAATTCTAAATTTTAAGGCACCACGTGGCAAATCATGATAAATAAATTATTAAATGTAACTATAAACACTATTTATTTTATTAATAAATATTATTTATCAATACTATTTATTGTATTATCACTGTTTAATATTTTAATACTTTAGCACTTTATTTTAATACTTTAGTAACATTTGATATTTATTACTTTTGTTAATTATGTCCATTATGGACTCACCACTGCCCTGGCAGCTCATGGATTTAAGAAATAATATTTATTATTTAAGAAATAATATTTATTTATAAATATTATTTATAAATACTATTTATAAATAAATAAATAATATTTACTTTATGTATTACTTTTTATTTATTATGTTACCACTATTTCATATTTTAATACCTGAGTACTTTATTTCAATACTTTATTAATATTTAATATTTATTCCTTGTATTAATTATGGCCATTATGGGCTCACCACTGTCTGGAAGCTCATGGATTTCAGAAATAATATTTATTATTTAAGAAATAATATTTATTTATAAATATTATTGATGAATATTATTTATAAATAAATAAATAATATTTATTTTATATATTACTTTTTATGTATTACATTATCACTATTTCCTATTTTAATACTTGAGTACTTTATTTCAATACTTTATTAATATTTAATATTGATTCCTTGCATTAATTATGGTCATTATGGGCTCACCACTGCCCTGGGAGCTCTTGGAGCCCCTAAATTTTCCTTCAGGACCACCCTGTGCAATATCAAACATCCAAATTCATGCTTGGATTTATTAATAAATGTATTAATTTATTTATTCATAATAAAGAAATAATTTACTCTTTATTTGCAGGTGCCCCCCCCCCCCCCCCCCCAGCAAACGAGTGCAATTGCCCTGGATTTATCAATTATTTATCGATAATTCCATCAGAAATTGGAGAAACCACAGGACAATTTTCCAAGTGAACACACCAAGGCAACAATTTCCGTTTATCCTGAATGTGCCCAGGCTGAAATGCAGGAAATTCCATGGAAACTGAAATAAAAAATTCTTTTTTTCTGCTCAAACAGAGGCCCTGGAGTCACCAAATTTCCATTTGATATGGAAATATCAAATCCCACCCCGAATATTTGTTCTGACAATCACGCACACACACCCCCAAAATTAAGAATATAATGAGAATATATAGGAATATTAAGAATGTAATGAGAATATATAGGAATATTAATAATATAATTAAGAATATAGAAGTTGAATGTAACGAGAATTAAGAATATAATGCGAATTTAAAGGAATTCTTCCTGCAGCGAAAAGAAAAGCACCGGCATTTAAATGGCACATACACAAACCCTGAATGTTAATTAGAAAGCAAATCATTACCCATGCCTCTTTTAGGAGAAAAATTAGGATTAGTGGGGAAATTAAAGTGAAAATTAGGCCCAAAGCAGGTTTTTGATACAACTGCTGTCAATTCTGACAAATAATTCTGACAAACACCCACGAGGAAAGGGCCCCAGTGTTCCCCTAATATTTGAATTTACCAAAGGGCACCATTTCTTTAATGGCATGAAACGAATCATTGATTGACGTGCTAAAATAAAATAAAATGAAAATAAAAAATAGGGATGTCAAGATTTCACCCGATCTTGATGTTAATTGGGTGGAGCTATTAACAGAGATGAGCTGAATATGAAATTAAGGTCTGTTAAAAAAAAAAAAGAAATGTTTTAAAATGCCTGAAAAAGATTTGGCCATTACCAGGTAAAAATGCAGAAAAACCCAGGTCCCAAATTCCAATTTATTTCCTAAATTTTGTGAGTGAAGGCCAGCCAGGAGCATTTCACCCAAGCAGGATTAACTGAAATGGTTTTTATATCTCTGTAATAAAATCTAATCAAAAAGGATAATTTTTATTCAAAAATTTAATTTTAATTTTTTATATTGGCAGAAGAGAGAGAAAGAGCAATAACCCTAAAAATAATGCTCAGAGTGTCATAAAATCTCTACATGTACACAGGTGTTGGGCTGCTTATTTTCGTTTTTTTTTTTTTTTTGGTACAGCAAAATGCTGCATTTTGGATTTTACTGAGCTCATCAAGTTCCACGCTGAAGGCAAAAATAAAATAAAACAAAATAAAAAAGGAGGTTTGTGAAATGACTCAACTTGAAATAAATGACATTTCCAACTCTGTAATTGAAAGCTTTTATTAGGAATTAAAATGCCTTCAAACTACTCCAGGGGATTTCCACAGGTGCAGAAGCTTTCCCAAAGAGCAGGGAAAAAAGGTTTTTTCTTTAAAAAAAAAGGGGTTTTTTTAAGTGAAAAACCAGTTTTACCAGAAGCCTTTCATTCTGCTCCTGTAGTTGAGGGAAAAAAATGTATTTATAGCCCATTAAAGTCAATTAAAGAGCAAGAAACATTCATCTTTCTCTGCCATTGTGCATTGAGGGAGAGCAGTGGAATATTTTGGAATATTTTGGATATTTTAGCCTGAACGGACTCTCCTGATTTAGAGATTTCACTTTGTGCCAAGCAGAAAAGATTCAGTCTGGGTGAGTTACACAGGAGACAAAATAAAAAAAATAAATTTAAAAATCTGTTTTCACCTGCTTAGAATTTCAGCAGTGTTCACCAGCTGGTCACAAACCTGTTTCTCACTCTTCCTAGCACAGAAATATTCCATCTACACGGAATATTTCTGTAATTCCCATAAAATATTTCTGTAATGCACATGGAATATTCCTGTATTTCCCATGGAATATTTCTGTAATTCCCATGGAATATTTCTGTAATTCCCATGGAATATTTCTGTAATTGCCATAGAAATTCCCACAGAATATTTCTGTAATTCCCACAGAATATTTCTATAATTCCCATGGAATAATTCTGTAATTCCCATGGACTATTTCTGTAATTCCCACAGAATATTTCTTTAATTCCCATAAAATATTTCTGTAATTCCCATGCAACATTTCTGTAATTCCCAGGGAACATTTCTGTAAATCCCATGGAATATTTCTGTAAATCCCATGGAATATTTCTGTAAATCCCATGGAATATTCCTGTAATTACCATGCAACATTTCTGTAATTCCCATGGACTATTTCTGTAATTCCCACAGAATATTTCTGTAATTCCCACGGAATATTTCTGTAATTCCCATGGGATATTCCTGTAATTCCCATGGAATATTTCTGTAATTCCCATGGGATATTCCTTTAATACCCATGGAATATTTCTGTAATTCCCATTGAATATTTCTGTAGTTCCCATAGAAATTCCCATAGAGTATTTCTGGAATTCCCACAGAATATTTCTGTATTTCCCATGGAATATTTCTATAATTCCCACGGAATATTTCTGTAATTCCCATGGCATATTTCTGTAATTCCATCCAACACAACCCCAAATCTCAGCAAGCAGCAAGCACACAGAATTTTGCACTAACACGTGTAAAATCTGATAATTTTGCCTTCCCCAGCCGTAATCCCCCGAGGAAGCAGGAGAGCTCCTGGAGCAGGAGGTGGTGTCCCTTGGAGCCCCGGTCAGGCTGTTCCTCCACGAGATAAATCTGATGTTGGGACAGTCCTTCAGCTCCTGCCTAAATCTGACCTTAAAAAGTTCTCCACGAAGAAATCCCATCAATCATCAGCCTCGTGTTCCACCCAAAGCTGTGAGGAGGAGGAGATGGAGATAAAACCTAAAACATTTTGGGTGAGGAATGTGGGGACCCAGCACATCCCTCTGGCTGTCCCCAGACCCTGGCACAAACTCAAAAACACCTGTGGCTTCCATTTTAGCCTGTGGAAAAAGCTGCCAACTCTGTATGAGGAATTACAGACCACAAGGGTTTGAGTAGTGTGATATTTGAATTAACACAGGGTGAAAAAGTAGAATTTTGGGGTTTTTAGAATGGGGTTCAAGGGGACAAGATAGAGGATTTGGGCGTGTCCCGACCTTCTTCTCCTTCTCCTTGCCCTCCGTGTCTTGCTGTGCTGGTGACACTTTTCTGTTGGTTTAAGGTAGGGACACGCTGTCCAACATAAATGACAGATATTGGCACGTTATTGTAAATATAGTCACATAATTTCTGATATAAAATGTAAATGCTGCCCGAGGTGAGGCACAGAACGCCACGGCCGAGCTGCTGGCCAGAGCTCAGCAGGGCAGAGAGAGAATGGTGACACTTTTCTGTTGGTTTAAGGTAGGGACACACTGTCCAACATAAATGACAGATATTGGCACGTTATTGTAAATGTGACACACATAATTTTTGGTGTAAAATGCAAACACCGCCCTGAGGGCAGACAGAATGCCATGGCCGAGCTGCTGGACAGAGCTCAGCAGGGCAGAGAGAGAATGTTCTAGATAAGGGAAAATAAACAACCTTGAGAAGATGATCCTGCACATCCAGACTCCTCCTTTGGCTGCACGGGCTGGGAAAATGAGGATTTTTACAATTTACACTCTTGGGGTCACCCCAGACCTGGGGAGCCTCACCCAGCAGCTCTTCCAGAGGGACCTGGGAATGGGGACACCACTGGGACTTGGCTCTGTCCCTGCCACAGCTGGGACACAAAGAGTTAACGGGGAAAGGTGGAATCCCATTTCCCTCCAGGAATTGAAATTTCTGAGGGGAGCAACTCGCAGATTCAATGAGCTCTGGTTAAATGCAATTATGGTTGTTTTCTCAGGTCCTCCCCTCTCTCTGTGTTTGAAAAATCCA